CCCACCCGCCTCAGCTGGGCAAATCCCGTGGTTGGCTCTTTGGGTGGCTCAGGGCCACTTTCCCACGAGTCAAAACCGCCAGTGCTCCAACTGCAGTCTCCCCATCTACCTTGGAAATCGCCAGAGGTAACTGCTCCGAAGGGTCTTGGATACTTGAGTCTCTACTTAAAACCCTCTTTCTTATGTGGGGAAAGGGAAAGGCAAGGGCATACTTTTCCCAGTAATTTCTTTAGCCCTAGGTGTTGCCCAGTGGATAGAGCATTGGCCTGCAGACTGAAATGTCCGGGGTTGGATCAGGTCAAGGGCAGGTACCTCGGTTGCAGGCTCCTCCTAGCTCCCGCCCTGGTGGGGGGCGTGCAGGAGGCAACTAATTGATTTCTGTCTTTCCCTCTCTCTAACAAAAACAAAAAAATATCCTCGGGTGAAGATTAAAGATTAAATGCTCCCTGAATGGCTCGGCTTTTGATTAGTTGCTCCAGGATTCCATTAAATGGTACACTCTGGGAGGGCTTAGCAGCCCCAAGTGTACCAAGTCTACGTGGGAAAGTTGATCAATGATCAACTTGGAAAAGTTCAACTTTCACTTAATCAGAAAATATCCTAAGTAATGACTGAACAAGTGTCTTAAATAACCTGTATGAAATCTCTTTTCTTTCACAGCAATTTCTAAAGTAACCTTATTAAAATGAGACAACACTGAAAGAAATGAATTCCCAATTTTAATTTCCTATCAATTGTCAGACCAAACAGCAGAGTATAATGGCTCTCAGCTCTGTAATAGCAGCAAAAAAAGACCCCCTGGATTTGAGGTCTACTATGAATACTTTTCAGGAGATAATTATTTAGGGAGAGATAACCAGAATGGCAATAACATTTCAACACCTAACAAACCAGCTCCAGGCCAATTTGACAAATGAATAAAAGATAATGTTTCAATTAAGAGTTTTGTAAGCTGTCTTCCCAAAACAGATCCTATTTGAAGCTTTAAAAAAATTGGGGACATAAACGTTGAGAAAGATTTAAGTATTTTCTGGATTAATGACAATTACCACCGTTATTCAGTTATACCCAAACTTATCATTTACAGCAAGCAAATCAATATTTTGTGTTGAAAAGCAGGAAATCTGTTTTCAGAAAAACCAATTATACTATCCCTTCAATATTATATCTGATACTAAAAGTTTGGTTTTTTTTTTTACAGTGATGTTGCTAAAATCACAAGTTTGCTGCTGTTTTAGAAAGTAAAGGAAAATATCATGTGCCAGATATCCAGGTCACTGGCTTTATTTAACAATAGCCAAACAGTGAAAAGCAACATTAAATACAGACACACTTTTATTAAATAACTTCACAACAATTACTTTTAAGGTCAGTTCTGAAATCTTTCTGTGTGCTCCCAGCTACTTTGATCAATACAGAAGCTTGTTACAAAAATAAAGCTGAAGTCATACTATTTTGTCTCTGAAATATGAACTGTCCCTTATACCACATCCAAAGTTAATAAAAAAAATACATCCTTTAAACCTCCAGCCAAAAACATGATTGGAAAAACATTAATTTGTAAAGTCCAACATTTTCATAGTATCTTAAGGGGAGGGGAGGGCAATCCTATCCCTTCAACCTCAATGAAGGTGGTGGCCACCTTCTTCTGCATCCCCTGCAGGACTCAGACCTTAACATGTAGAGTAGCTCTTGGTTTACAGGTACTCGGGTCAGAGGGTCAACTTTACTTCCTCTTCTTTCCTCCTTGGTGTTGCCCTCCTTTCCTCTTGCCACCCCAGCCGGGCGACCCGGAATTCATCTTGCCTCCAAAGCCTCCTTTCCTCTTACCTCCCTGGCTGGGCGGGGGCCCCCCTTTCCTCCTGCCCCCAGGACCCTGCCGGCCCCCCTTTCTCTTGCCCTTTTGGCTCATTTTTCTCCTCTTGGCCGCCTCCTCCTGGTCTTCCTCCCTCATCTGCTTATTGGCGGCCCTGGTCACGTCCAGCTGAGGCTTTTTGCTGTTCATGAGTCGCAGCATCTCCAACTGGCTCTTTTTCTCCGCGGCAAAGTCCCCGAAAAGAGGCTGAAACTTCCTCTTCTTGCCGGAGCCCCGGGGGGCCTTCTCCTTGGGCAGGCGCTCCTGAAAGCGCCCCACGGAAGCGGTGGAGACCCTGGCCACTTGCAGGGCGCGGCCCAGCTCCTGCTTACTCTGGTGTCCCGTCGGGTGCATCCCGGCCGAGCTGGGGAGCCGCGTCTTGTGCGCGCGGGCTAAGTTACGCAGTCGGTTCAGCTCGTTCTTGGCCACCCGTTCCTTCTTAGCCTGAATCCGCTTGGCGAACTGGTCCTCCAAGGGGTCGGCACTCCCGGGCACCTCGATCAGCCACTCCTTGGTGTCGTCGCGGGCGCGCTGGTAACCCCAGCGGCGTCGCCACTGGCCGCTTACCTCGTCCCACACCAGATTGGTCTTCTTTTTGGGACGGATGCCCTTGAGGCGCGCGAACTGCTGCCA